GGCTGGCTTACCTAGAGTAAGAGATCAAAAGACCAAGGTGCAGCCTCTAATGTTTTTATACTTCACCTTGGAAATCATATCACCTTGTTACTACTGCAATATTCTGTGTGTCACACAGGTCAGCACTGATTCAGTGTGGAAGGGAACTACACAGGCCATAAGTATTTAGAGGTATTTAAAATAACATAATGTGAAGACTTATGGTCATCTTGAAGATTGATGGCAAGGGTTCAACCCGATAGTTCACAGAGATTCATACTTGCACACATGAAGTACACCCAACCTCCTCTAAAAGCTATCGGAAGTTTCACTCCAGCAGACCATCTGCTCAAACTCCAGGACCTCACTGTCTAAGTCAAGTCAAACCAAAATGAATCTCAGAGAGTTCCAAAGAAAATGAAGCTGTTTAGGTATATTCTCTCAAGTACACTTTTGAAGTGTAGTTGTCAATCTTAAGACCTGTGAACAAGTTTTATGCCACCCACACACCACATATACAGTGGTAAATTATGCACAGACAAGCCAAATTAGTCTATCTTGTTCAAAAGTGGAAAAAATAAGAGTGACAAAGAAGTCAATGGTCCATGGCAGTTTTGCAATCTAGTCAGGCAAATGTTGGTAATTCTTGATTAGGACTCAGTCATGCTATTTCCTGGAAATGATTTTCCACGGCTCTTGCTCTGCCCTCTGTTTTAGTTCTACCACTCTAAGTCATCCTTTTTTATATAGAAGGTTGTTTCTGTTTACAGCTGCATAGGTTCCTGACCATAAAGTTTGGAGGTTGAAGGCCTTTTTCTATTTTGTACCACCTTTGTCTCTTTCAGTACAAGCTGGTGGTATTACCAACAATACAGTTCTCTTAAAACTGAATGGGCTTTCTATGAATTTTATTCAGGCTTTCTCCACTTAAAAAGGCATATCCACAATTATATAATCTCCCCCACTACCCCTTGAGTTTCTATACCTCTACAGAAAGGAAAATGCATTTAAGATTATTAGAACCCCTATTGTTTAACTGAAAAGATCTGTGAAGCATACCAATAAGCTGTTTAGAGAATCTTCTGTCTTTTGGAGTGGTTCTATCATGTATACCTAATATCTTTCTCAGGTATTTGCATAGATTTTATAATCATACTTCCTAGTCATCTTTAGACCACATTTTCCTTGAATTTGATCTTTGCTTAGGAATGTGATTTCTTAATTTTTGCATTGTTCACCATCTGAAGAGACTGGAATTCAAAGAGCATTTTACTTTAAAATTTATTAACGCCTGGCTTCTTCATTTTCAATAGTTACTTAGCTTTATGTCTTTCATATTTTTTTCATTTATTCTAACAGAAAGAAGATGCCAGATGGCTCCTTCAGTACTCTACCTGGAAATGTCCTTAGCTAGATTACACAATTTCATTTAAGTATATATTTTATTTTCCACATTATCACAAACAGCAATGTAGCTAAACGTTCCACCACAACATAGCAAAGATCTAATTTTCTCCCATTTCCAGTAACAGTTTCCTCACCTTCCTTGAAGTCATTACTGGCAGCTCCTCATGAGCCATCAAGCTTCTTTTAAGGCCTATCCCACTAATTCCTGCCCCTAAATAACTGCCACGTTTTTAGATTTTAGGTTTCTGTTATAATTCTTTCCCAGTATCAAAAGGTTTTTTTAGGGAGGGGGATGTAATGTATTTTATTTGATTTTCAATTTTTATTTCCATAGGTTTTTGGGGTAACAGGTGGTATTTGGCTACATGAATAAGTTCTTTAGTGACGATTTGTTAGATTTTGGCACACCCATCACCTAAGCAGTATACACTGAACCCAGTTTGTAGTCTTTTATCCCTTGACATGCTTCCACCCTTCCTCCCTGAGTCTGCAAAGTCCATTTTATTATTCTTATGCCTTTGCATCTTCATAGCTTAGCTCCCACTTATGAGTGAGAACATGAAATGCTTGGTTTTCCATTCCTGAGTTATTTCACTTAGAATAATAGTCTCCAATTCCATATATATATACTGATACTACATATATATATATGCTGATACTACATATATATATATATACTGATACTGCATATATATATATATACACTGATACTACATATACACACACACACACACACACACACACACACACAAAAACACATGTTTATAACAGCATGATTCACAATTGTGAAAATTTGAAACCAGCTCAAATGTTCAACTGTGGCACATATATATGATGGAATACTACTCAGACATAAAAAGGAATGAATTAATAGCATTCACAGCAACCTGTATGGCATATCTGAACATCAAATTCTTTATTCAATATCTATTGTTGCATAACATAGCACCTGAAAATTAATTTCAAACCATGATGAATATATATTACTTCTCCTGGGCCTCTCCAGAAGACTGCATATGGCATAGTGGTTGACTTTCCACAAAGTAAGCAATATCAGAGACTAAGTTGGAAATAAGCTTGAGAAGTCACATACTCCCACCACTTGCAGAGTTTTCTATTGTTCACAGAAGTCAAGCCTAATTGATTATAGAAGGGGACAACAAAGGTTGTGAAATCAGGAGGCAGAGCTTAATGATGTCCCTCTTGGAATATGTAAAGATAATAAAAAATTAATAAATATGTAGTATTTTGTCCTATAATTATCTTCTCCTAGAACATATCTCCTATTGGAAAATAAAAGGACTTGACCATTTCAAGCTTCAAAATTACTAAGATTCAACAGAACATTGTTATGAGTGACTGCTGAAGGCTTGTTTTACAATCTTAATTATCTCCAATTTATAGTAATTGGTGTTTATGCAGCTGCTGTGCTTCAGAGTAGCTTTTATTTTCACAGATAGATCCATTCATTTTGAAATCTTTCAAAGGTAGTGTGGATATGGTGAGACTCCCAATTATTAAAAAAAAAAAAAAAAAAGCCAGAAACAAATGAGTCTTCTTAAGAGTGGTCAGTAAGCTACAACTGGATGTTTTCTCTCTGCTAAGTTTAGATATTACACTCTATTCAATTTTTTCTTGATTAAGCAATTGAAAATCATGTGTGCATACAACTCATCTAAACAGATCATTTATCTAAAATTAGCATCTTTCTGAAGGGACTAAGTGAAAATGAAAAAAAATATGGCTGACTAGAAAATACACACACACACACACACACGTACCATATATTAACATTAAAATAGAGCCTTATATTGATTTTTCTAAGTCAAGAAACTAATTCAAATACAATCCTGTTTTTATACAGTATTGTGTTAATGGAAAATAATATATACCTCTGTGACTAACCCGTAAAGGAGATTAAAATGACAGTTAGTGGACTTTAAATATTGTAATCCATTAATGAAGAGAGAAAGGTTTCTGCTATACTAAACTACTAACCTTAGTAATAAAAAATAGAATAGCATATCACTTAATGGCTGATATAATTTGGCTGTGACCCCACCTTAATCTCATCTTGAATTGTAGTTCCCATAATCCCCACATGTCATGGGAGGGACCCACCCAGAGGTAATTCTATCATTTTATGATAGTGAGTTCTCATGATAACTGATGGTTTTATAAAGATCTTTTCCCCATTTTGCTCGACACTTCTCCTTGCTGCTGCCATGTGAGGAAGGACACGTTTGCTTTCCCTTCTTCCATAATTATAAGTTTCCTGAGTAAGTTTCCTAAGTAACTTACTTCCATAATTGTAAGTTTCCATAATTCTCCAGATATTCTGAACTGTGACTCAATTAAACCTCTTTTCTTTATAAATCACCCAGCCTCGGGCATGTTTTTATTAGCAACATGAGAACAGGCTAATATAATGGCCAATTTCTGTTTTTATTGAAAATTCGCTTTTATCTGTTTATGGTGTATTTGGTTCCAACCTATTTTATATAAATAGTTTGCTGTTGCAAATGTAATAGATGAAGTGAATGTGTGAATAACTTTAGATTTGTAAGCAGACAGATTAGTACAGTTTAAATTTTCCCAGTAGGCAGATTTGGTGTGTTGAGCAACATGTGAAGTAGAAGCTTTCGGGACTTTCTGGAGATACTTAATGGGATTGAAAAATGTCATTCTCTTATGGCCTACACATTTTCAATCCACAATGCATGTTTCTACCCAATTATGCATGTTTCTCTTAAAAAGATATGATAGTAATTGATTTGCGATCTCTCAAAGTTATTTAACAATAAACTCTTAATATCTGATTTCAAAATTGTTGTGTGTATTCTATTTCCTAATAGAATCAGCAGTATTTACTGTGTGTGTGTGTTTGTGTTTATTCTTGTTATTTACTCTTTTAATTTTAGTTCCATCTGTTATTATGTACTAGTATTTATACTATATCATGGTATATTATTTATAACATATTATGTATAAGATATATATTCAAAGTAGGGTGGGAGACCTTTATGCCTAAATTTATTTCCTTATAATGTTCCCCTGGATTTTATAAATTAAAAAAGCATCTGTAATGCAAATATTTCCTTGTAATGAATTACACACTGATCTACTTTACTTCATAATAGTAAGTTTAGCTTATTTGACATCTCAATAACAGGCAATAGGGAATTAAGAAAATAGAAATAAACATCAAAGATACAAGAAGAAGGAAGTTGGATGGTTGGGAAAGTTCTAAAGCTTTGTGTCCTAATCTCTGAGGGCTGGCTCAGCAGAGGAAGCATAACAGTGAGTCTTTGACAGCAGAGGGACAGAAAGATGTGAGAGTGAGAAAGAAGATGTCAAAAGAGAAAATTTGAGTGACAGAAGACCCCAGAGGCAAACATTGACCTGGTAACCCATTACATTCAACCCTGACTTCTTCCTCTGTAATAATCGCACTTTCTTAAAAAACTTTCTTCTTCGACACTGAATATAACATGAGCAAGGATCAGAGAAAAGGTAGTTGGATGCAATGCCTGTGGTCAGGTAAAATACCCACAAGAATTTTAGTGAAGCATACTGTACACCCGATTTACATTCCCATTTCTTCTGTTTCACAGGTTTTCTGAACCAGATGAATAACTCAAGTCACTCTGTTCTTCAGCCTTCATTCCAAGGATGCATGCAGCTCATTCAAGTGGATGATCAACTTGTAAATTTATATGAAGTGGCACAAAGGAAGCCAGGAAGTTTTGCAAATGTCAGCATTGACATGTGTGCGATCATAGACAGGTAAATGATTTTTCCATCCTACCTCACATTGTCCAAACTTTCCAAACCTATGTTTCTGTTGAGAGACCAGTGAAGACGCCAAAAGAAAAAATAAAGATTAAAGAAACACAGGTAAGGTGGGAATTACCATTCAAAATATGTATTGTAGTATATTTGTGGTATTAGCTGTGACGATGTTTATGTTTGTATGTGGATATATGTATATATGATAAAACACATTGTGGGGTTGCATTTGTTCAACAGCCTTCAATCAGAGAATCTGAGCTTTAAACAAGTAGTTTTGTAAGCAACAGCCGTGTGGTAGAGAAACTCTGAGAGTTGATTTTCGGTTTTGCTTTCTATGTCTACAAGCAGAAGTGTCCATTCTCTTTCTGTCTCAATCATGACTTGGCCTCTACATGTTCCCTCCAAAACCCACTTCTGAAGAAAAAGGAATATTACAAAACTGTCAGTGGGCAATATGGATATTTATGAAGCATAATATTTAGAGTAACTGATTCAGCTTACAAAATACACATATTAAAATATAACAAAATCAAATCTTTATTGGTTTTGCAAATCTGAGAAGAATTTTTAATAAAAACTTTTATTGTATTCTCACACAGTGGAAAGACGCAACTTTTATGTGAAATATTATGATTGTACTGCATACACTACCTTAGCATACTTCTAGAAAGTGTCTTTCATTCCACTATGAAAAAGTTTGATTTTGAGATGTTTTTGTCTCCAAACAGACCATATATGGTTTGACATTAACCTAGTGAATTTATGTGATTTTCTAAAATATATACAAATCTTTTGTGGAAGAACTATCATATTCTGAAAACTCATTTTATTAATTTTGTGTTTTGAGAAGATAAAAGTTCTTTTTTTTTTTCTCATTATCTCAGTTATCCAAGTAGGTGAAAGTTCTTAAGTTTTGAAATAAGATATTAATCCTATCTCACTTCTGACCACAACAAAATGTTTAAGCCTTTAACAAATTTATTTTATTCACGAGGAAATACTTTAAGAAGTCACTCAATAATGAATTTTACAAACATATAAAATAATCTATTTTGAAGTAAGTCTGCTTCCATATAATCTGAGTAAAATGGCGTTCCTGTGAATGGTACATTACAGTTTATGGTGACTATACAATATAACTATTATAAAGGCTTCACGTGTTTGTAATAAGACTTTATGACATAGTATGCTGCTTATTTATATTCATGTATGCAAATACTGATCTTAGTAGCCTAAATGGTTTATATCTAAATAGAATAGTGAACAATTTTAATGGAAATAGACTCCTAATTTTTGAGCCATTAATAATGTATCAGCTATTATTTCTGCCTAGAGCAAGTGGCAGCAATAATCAGAAAAGCTGAGATGAATGTTTTAGAGATCATTTGTTCTTATTTGAGATAATTACATTTTATAATTGTTTTATACAAAAAAATTCTTCATAATAGCTGTGGAGTTTTTTAGTGTCTACTCTTTTTTTCAGATCAGTAGCTGTGATGATACAATAATGTCATTACCTCTTTCAGCTTTGTAAATGGGCTGGATAATGTGTTACTGTTTCTCTCCAAACATCGTGTTCCTGGGCATTGTATATGGTTTGCTACTAAAGAACGAAGGGTGATGTGTTGAGATATTAATGTTTTCTTCCAAAGGAGACAGGAATTAAATTGGCCCCAAAAGAATGAATGAGATTTTGGTAAATGAAGAAAATGTAGGATGATACTCCTGGTGGGAAGTCCAACACAAGGGATGGTATAGAAAAGAGAATACGGGGCCAGGCACAGTGGCTCAAGCCTGTAATTCCAGCACTTTGGGAGGCCGGGGCAGGTGGATCATGAGGTCAAGAGATTGAGACCATCCTGGTCAACAGGGAGAAACCCCGTCTCTACTAAAAATACAAAAAATTAGCTGGGCATGGTGGTACATGCCTGTAATCCCAACTACTCAGAAGGCTAAGGCAGAAGAATTGCCTGAACCCAGGCGGCGGATGTTGCGGTGAGCAGAGATCGCGCCATTGCACTCCAGCCTGGGTAACAGAGCGAAACTCCAACTCAAAAAAAAAAAAAAAAAAAAAAAAACAAGAAAGAAAGTAAGAAAAAGAAAGAGAGCACGTATTTCGATTTTTCGCAGATACAAAGATAAACAAAATATATATATATATTTTTTTTTGCCAAAATGGGTCAGGCCCAATATTCATCTTGCAAAGTTTCCTGTAGCTAAAAGAACAAAGTTCACACCTTTCTTTTTCTTTAGGATGACAAATGAGAGGATTAGCTGCAGGGAAGTAGTCACCTGTGACACATCTCCATGCATTTTCTAAACCCATTATGGAACCTATTTTTAGCTTATCCTGTTTTTTAAGGCAACAACATCTGTACATGAAATAGCAATGTGTGAAACAGCAGATTCCTTTAGCCACCTAAAATGTTCCCTATTCAAAACCTTAAGCGTGGAGTGTTGTACTTGCATAGGTGTGAGACAGGACTATTTTTACTTCACTTAAACCACTGAAGAGTGTGTTGACAGTATCACCGTTCATCTGTAACTTTTCAGGTAAAAGTACCAGTGGTTTTAATTTGTCCTCATAGAGCAGTGATGTATCCAGATAAGCCTTTAACAATACACCCACCCCCAGCACATCTCTGCTTGATTCTTTCTCCTAAGACTTTGCTTATCTACAACTTTCTCCTCACTAAGACTACTGCTTATCTACAACTTTCTTTTCAGATTACCCAGATTCTCCAAAAAGAAGCCTACATTGGTTCTTTCTTACTTTTCTCCTTCCCATTACCAGCTTGATTGATTTGAGAGTTATTTTTGAGAGAGGAAGAAAAGAAGTATAAATGAGAACATAGGTTTAAAAAAAATAGAAGAGCTACACAAGCCTGACTTTTATAAAACATTTGGAGATAATAGTCACAGCTGCAGTGATTCGATGAGCAGAACTTAGGGAAACAGTTAGGGGAAGATGGTTCTGAAGGAGTGTTTCTGTGTTGTATTGGAATACCCTATGATTTGAACTTTCTTTTTTGCTTTGTGTGTGGATTTGCATGTGGCTTGTTTTGCTCACATGTTTATTTTCCGAACACAGCTTTGAATCAAGGAAAGAGCAAGCATGACAAGCTATAGAATTATGCATTCGATATTTATTTTCTGAGTGCATACTAGATGTCAAGCTATTCTAGACACTTGGAATAAATCCTTGAATAGGAAAGATAAAGAGGATTGAAAATTCTAGGGTCACATGGTGGAGGAAAGGGAGGACAGATGACAAACTAGAATTAACAAGTAAATAATCTAGTAAGTGAGAAGGAAAAAAATTATGGGTAAAATTACTAAAGCAAAGTCAAGAGGACTGGATGTCAGTAGATCAAGGAGTTGATTTGTGGTTTAAATAGGTTGATCAGGATAAGCCTCCACTGAAAATATTAGTGCAAGACTCGAAAGAGGTAACTGAATGTACTAACGCAGGGAAAGAACATTTGATCCAGAGATCACAGACAACAAAAGAGTCGTTTGTGTGATCCAGGATCAGTATGGAAGCCAGGGTGACAAGTTTAAGAGGTCAAAAATAATTGAAGGAATAGAGAGCAGAACAAGCCCTGCAGACTTGTGGGTTATTGTAAGGGTGTAGCCTTTATTTTGGAGAAATACAGGAGCATTTGTAGCTCTGAATAGAGCAACATGATGTAGCTCACATCTTAAAAGGATGAATCTGGGCTGTGGGAGCAAGAAAGCTAGAAGCAGGAGGCTAACTAAAACAATGCCATTGTAATCCAGGTGACAGATGCTTGTAGCGTAGACCAGGGTAGTGAGATGTAGTGAGATGAAGTAATGAGACTTGGCAATTGCCCCATTTCTGCAACTAGAAGTAGTGAGAAGCGGTCAATTCTGAATATATTTTGGAGGCAGAGTCAGTAGAGTTCCTTGACAAATTAGATATGGAATGTGAGAGAAATAGAGAAAATAGGGATAAATCCAAATGATTTGGTAAGAGCAGCAGGAAGAAAGGAGATGCCATCTCCTCAGATTGAGAAGGCTAGTCACAGAAGAGATTAGTCAAGGGGGCTAAAGAAAAAGTAAGTCAGAAATTCAATGTTGGACATGAGTTGAAACGTCTCCTGGACATCTAAGTAGAAGCATCAAGAAGACAGTTGGATATATGTGTGTAACGAGCCTGGGTCTGTAGGTTACACAATAAACCTCTGTATCTGACAGAAGCCGTTTTGTGTAACTATTGAGGGTCTTTGGTATCTTTAGCTACATTTCATAAGCAGTCATAGAACTGGAAGGGGCAGTGGTGTGGGAAGTGGGCGGGAAGTGCCCTCTAACAATGGAAGCTGCTAGCTTGAGCCCCTCAGTGATATTCTGCTCTTACAGAGGCAGATTGTCATCAAACCTTCAGTTACTAAAACATTCTCTGAGAATGGTAAAATACCCAGAGATAACACTTTTGTTTCTCTTTGCATTGTTGCTTTCTTTTATTCATTCCTAGAATCCTTACATTACTGACGGCTTGTGGCAAACATTTTGAGAGTCCTGATTCAGCTCTTCTCAATCTTTTTCTCTCCAGCCTCCTTTCAGGTGTGAAAACCTGAGAGCCCAAACCTTCAGAAACATTCTTTGAGCCAAAGTTAGGTTCATTCACTTCCTCCCTCAAGACAGATTCATGAGGAGAACCATAGGACATTTCAAACTGGGGGTAGGGATGGGGAGGGATGGACACTGGGGAGAGTCAGGGAGGGTATCAAGGGCTGGAATGAGTCAGTTCTTGCAGGTATTGGTTAGAATTTCTAAACTAGGTGAGTTGCTACAACAGACATTGGCCTTAGAACTTGTGAATTGGTGTAGAGTTATTGTTTGATTTGATTTTCTGTGACTGTAGCCAGGATGCATGGGTAAGAAGAAGCTGATGTTCACATATTTTGAGCTTAATTAGGTGGTGATCATGCTTGGTTTGACAATATTTTTCTCTTTTGTGAGTAATAGTTAAG